CTTGGCAAATTGGCAATACCGACATTTCCAACGTTCTTCTTCAGGAGTGTACTTAGCTTCTCGTTCATTTCTCCAGAACTCAATGACTTCTCTATATTTTCTCATCACCCATTCATGATCATGGTTGAATCTTATCTCAGCTATTATAGATTGGTCCTTCTGAAACTCGTACCTGAGGACAAATTTCTCACTCGATTACAATCATATGATCAGATATATATTAATGTATTCTATAAGATCAAGAACAATCCACCTCTACTTACTTCAGTAATAGTTGATCATTTGCTAGAGGAAGCATCTTAAAAGTGTTTTCATAGTACCTAACTATCTCTTCAAGTGTCTGCATCGAATAAAAAACAGTAAGAATATCGATAAAACCTCATTATAAAGTGAGTAATTCTCTCTTCATAAACACAAAAACTTTGGCTTAGTGAAAGATATATTGCGCAATGTCAAAGATTAGTATACCTGAGCTTGGATACCTGCATTAGCAATGTTATCTCTGACATCTTGGGATAAGATATAATGTCGATTCAAAGAGAAGTAGTCGAAAAAAGGTCCCGTCGGAAACCCTTCTTTCACAATAGTGTCCCAAAGAAGCTTGTAAAGCATCAGCTGAAGCCTATCAAATATAATTTAAGGACAATTAGCATAGAACTCCCTAGCACTAAACCAAAACCAAAAATGACCAAGCACTTACCTTCCATTCCTCCTCTGTGGCTCAGCTGGGAGTGTATCACGGAGTCGAGTCTTTGTATCTATCAATATTGGTCCGCTATCAGAAGACTCTTCTGCGTACGCCTTTCTAAGCTCATCAATAATTCCCACAATCCATTGACCTCCAACAAATCCTAAGCTGATGATAATTAAAAGCAACTTAACTCCACAACGTGGAAAATGCAACATACTAGAAAACATTATCTTGCTAGCAAAAGGTAAAAGCTATGAGAATGTTACAAAGGACATAAAATAGAATCGAAACTAAAGGTGTAGAAAGAGCTCACAGTAGCAATTCACGAGTTCGTCCTTCAAACAAGAACTGATTAACACCAGCGATGGAATTTAAAAGCTTCAATGCCCACTTATCTTCATTTGATTCAACTCTTACTCTCACCTTTCTAACTACCTAGCCATTATAAACAGAACAACAAGTAGATGTTTCACAAAACGATCTACAATTGTTAACAGCAGTAACGTAAATCATTGAAATACCTCTTCTTCAAGCTGCAAATGACGAGCCTGGCCAACTTTCATTGCTTTATTGACTTTTCTCCTGCCAAAACAAAGAACATTCTCCATTTGTTTCTCACACCATTCCTATAACAACAAATAGAGATCAATGTCAAAGGTGCTTATTCGATCCTCTTCATATGATCTTCGAATCATAGAAAAGAGAAGATTTAAAACATACTGTGCCGGTGAGATCTGTGACACCTAAAGCTTGATTTCTCCTAAATCGATGCAAATAAGACTCTTCGATATCTGAACAAGCCGATAATTTCCTCTTGGAGAAAAGAGTAATTGAACGGATCATCTTGGGGTTTTCGCCGGCGAGAATTCGTGATGGAGAAGCAGAACGGATCGCAGAAGGGAAGATTGAGCGCGTGGCTGCAAGCGCTGCATCGAGAATAGCCATTTCTTCTTCACTGATGATCTCGATTGGGATCTCGGGGCAGACATGGTGACTTTGAGGGCTTGAAATAGCAACAGTCTCGGATTCAGCGGGCTTAGTGGGTGGGGTGGTGGTAAGCGACTCGGAGGGTGACTCGGCCATGTTTTATGCGGAAGCAACGTGTGGTGTTCTTCTTTCGTGGCCATGTAAAAAAATTCAAAGTTTCAAACCAAAGGGTAAACAAAAATTGTAATTAAAATATTAACCATATAATTTAATTTTACTTACAAAGGTAAACAAACAAATAAAAATAACATCAATCATTTTAGTGTTTTATGCTGCTTTTTGTGAATTGATTGATGTCCATAAACTAGATAAAGTTTGTGTGAATGATTTTTTATTACTTTATTAGCAGTTTTGCGTGTTCTCAATCACACAACTGGTTAGATATTTCTTCAAAACCAAGAATTCTATGAGAGATCCATTTGACCACTATTAATCACGAAATTAGTTTTTATTTTAGTTTAGAAGACCAATTAGCAAAACAAATACTATAAGTATTTTGTCATAACTTGTAAGCTAGTATAAGTTATACAAACTGACTTAGTAGGATCAAGAACGAAGCTACTTTGGTCTAAATCAATTTATGTTCTTAAATTTAACATGCAAATAATATAAATTTATCGTCTATAGTTTTGGCTTTATTTTGTACATATGAACAGACCTTTATGTTACAACAAGCATAAACAATATGCATTACCAAGTCCCCAACTTAAAAAGTAATGTCTTAATCCAATAAATATGCGAACATTTTCGTAATTTGATAATTGACCAACCACATTCGCTGTTGATCATCTCAAGCCACAACGGGGTACGATGCACATGTAGCAATACCTGCAATTCAAGAACGAATCAACTAAGGATAGAGAGAGACCAAATATGAAAATCTGAAATTTTTGACTCTGTGTCTTTCTTTATATATGTTTATATCATATGATAATGGTGTGATGGTTTCATAATGGTTAAAAAGCTTACCACACATGTTCTTCCCCATCTCCATCTTGAAGTAGCCTTTGTCGCCCCAATCCGCTCCCCATGAGTTCTTAATAAGCCAATACGGTACACCATCTTCAACTCCATAACCAACCGCCAAAACCGCGTGGTTCACATCCTATATTGCCACATTAAGAAAACCGAGTTGAACACCAAGCTAAGTGCCTAAGATGATTTTATGTGAAACAATGAAAGTCTTTTTTATCAGTTTAAAGAAGAAAGTCTCACCATTGGAGTACTTCCACAGTGACTATCAGTGTAAACTCCACTCTTGTAAAGCCGGAACGAGTGTATAACCTCGAATGCTATGCTTACTGGCCGTACCAATCCAACCGCATGCTTCAATTCATCTTCAGCACCCTGTTGTTGTTGTTGTTTCATTCATCATTACAGATTACAGGTCGAATATATATTTTCAGGTAGGTGAAATTAAAAATCCACACAAGATGCTTACCAGAGTAATGTTGACTGAGTCGAGGACTTGTACACCGACATTTTCTGCTGAGAATTTGCAGGTTCCATCTTTCCCGATGTAAGGATAAGCTTCCTCTGTGTCGAGGCCACCGTTGGATTTGATGTATTCAAAGGCTTGAGAAGGAAGGCCACCATTGCAGCCATAGTTATTATAAGCTCCAGCACAGTCCACGAGCTGTTGCTCAGAGAGAGATATTCCTTTTCCAAATGCCTGATGGTAAGCTGCCTCAAGAGCTCCAGTTGTGCTGCAGTACAAAAACCAATCATATGACATACAACATTGACCTTTAATTTTACATCAAAAGATCCCATCAAAAATTAAAAGAGATATCTTAATCATTGGTTTTACCTGAATGTCCAGCAAGATCCACAACCTCCCTGGTCTTTGACCGGACTAACGATACCATCTTCTCTCCAGTCTTTCTGCACTTACACAATTTGTGGAATCAGAACCAAATTAAAAAAAAGGTCTTCAGCTAAACACGTTTTCTTAGAGCTGACAAAACAGAACGGGATGATGGTTGACATAGTTCAGTGCAGCAAGATTGAGTCCTGGACTTACTGTTTCCGGAAGAGCTGCTTCTGTGAGTTTGTGGCTGCCCTTTAACGTGGCAGAGCAGTTTTGAGCAGCACCAAGCTTGGTCCTTTGGAACTCTTGCCAGGTCAAATCAGCAAATTCTGTATAGATTCAAGAGACAATTAGCAATATTTAGGTAAACCATTATCCATCAAGGCATCAACCACTGAAATTTCAATCAATCTTAAACTCAGGACAGCTAAATCTGAAAGAAACACAAACTAGTCCCTCTTACAGAGTTCATAGATAGACTCATAAACTCTGCAAAGTATAGAGTCCCAATAACAATCTAGAATCACGTGAACTAAAGAAATAAAAAAAGGAAGCTAAAATCAAAATTTAAAAATAGTATTAAGTTAGACGATTCCAAGACAGAACAAAAGTTAGTTTCCACGTTTTCCCACCAACAATGTTTTTATACATAGGTTACTTCCTTAAGTACAAATTGAGGAGAAGAAAGATAAAAACTTACGATTAACACCGAGTTTGTAAGATAAGCCTTTCTTGTTAGTGGATCTGATCAAATCCAAATTCTCTTTGAAAATCGAGAATCGAAGCTTCATCTCCTCCACGTTCTGATACTTTTTCCTATATCTTCATCACCAAAAAAAGATTATCAAAACTAAGATCAAAAGTCAACGGCGAAGGCGCCGGTGGTGAAAGCATGTGACTTACCGGTGAGTGAAGCGAGCGAAGGTGAGAACGTGGCGAGATTGACCTAAGATCTGGGAAACAGTTTCTTCTACCTCCCGAAGGCCATCGGAGACCATTCGGATCGGGTTTAACTCATCGAATCCGATATCCGCCGCTGCTGATGCGGCGATGAGAATGACCAGAACTACTGATGATAGGACTGTTTTCGCAGACATGGTTTCCTCTCTCGCGTTCTTACTTAGTTTGTTTCTCTCAGTGCTTATATCTGCTTCAGTGTTATTACTTCTTGGCTCGAGATAATGTGGGTAAAGAAGAAGAAGAAGAAGAAGAGTAGAAGACGGAAGAGAGAGATACAGACGGAAACGTTATCGGGACACGTGGTGGAATTTAAATGGACAGTAGTTGTCCGGTATACTTGGAATGTTGACGTGTACTGTGGTCTACCATTGAGATTTCAATCATTTTACTTTCATGATTTTTTTTATACGGGAACGGAAATTGCAAGATAGCCCTTCACTATTTTTATCTTATTTTTACAATCCAAATCTTTGGTCTATTTCTAATTTTTATTATTTTGATAAATAAAAAGATATTTCCAAAAAACTTTGATAATCAATTTGACGGCCCTTAGGGACTCAATTCATTTGCACTAAAAACCCTATTGTCTTCACTTCCAATCTTACGCCGGCGAAGCTGATTTTCTTCTAAGGCTAATTGAAGATTGCACATGGCGAGAGGTAACAATGGCACAAGGCGTCCAAAGCCAAACCTATTGATCACGGGGACTCCCGGTACCGGTAAATCGACGACGGCTTCTGCTCTGGCTGAAGCCACGAATCTCCGGTATATTTGCGTCGGAGATCTGGTCAAAGAGAAAAACTTGCACGATGGCTGGGACAATGAGTTCGGGTGTCACATCATCAACGAAGACTTGGTGAGTTTCGTACTTGAACCCAATCCCTTTATCCTAATTTCCTTGTCAAACACACTGTCAATCGTTGTAGAATCTCTGGCTAGTTGTTCATCTAATTTCAGCTTCTTTGTATGGAATTATCTGAGCTGGTTGTTTCAACTTGGGCCATTGATAAAGCTTTAATCTTTAGTTTGACACAAGTTTGCTTTTCTCAATCTGACATCGAAATTGATTCTTGGAGTTGCATGGTTTTGGTTAAATTGCAAAGGAAATTGTGGATTGATAACTTGTTATTGACCGTTCAAAGCATTAGCCTTTATTGCATGAGACGAGGCCTTCGTACTTAATTGTACTTAACTTGTGGATCAGGTGTGTGATGAGCTTGAAGATGTTATGGTAGAAGGAGGAAACATTGTGGACTACCATGGCTGTGACTTCTTTCCTCAGCGATGGTTTGATCGCGTTGTGGTGCTTCGAACTGAGAACTCCATTTTGTATGACCGTTTAACTAACAGGTCAGATTTCAAATCCATCAAAAGTAGTTTAGTTGTTTTGTAACTTTAGCAGGTTCTGATTGTGTTCTCAACCAAAGCAGGGGTTACTCGGGAACCAAGCTTAGTAACAACCTTGAATGTGAATTGTATCAAATCCTACTCGAAGAAGCATGTGACAGTTATGAAGAGGAAATTGTCACTGCACTACAAAGTAACAAAATCGAAGATATCTCTAACAATGTCGAGAGTTTGACGGAATGGATTAGAACGTGGCGACCCTGAAGATCTTCATATGAAGACAAATTGACAATGCATCTGTAATGGTTTTCAAGGTTCAGTTTTTGGTAGTTTCATTTTGTGGTTTCTGAATCGATGATCTTGGTTGCAATTTGTATACTGATATTCTGAAGCACTACAATTCAGCTTATGTATGCTTATTTTGATGATATTTAATGAAAAGATAAAGTTTTCATCTTTTCTATTGTTTTTGTTAAACTTTACAAATGTGTGAAAACCTGATTGTTCTGATAAATCATAAGGTTAAGAAACATAATCTGGATAAATACTTAAATTTAATCACTCACTATCTCGAAAGTCAAAGAAGCTGCGAAACAAGCAAGGTACGATTAAACTTGAAGAAGCAAAGTCTCTGTCTTCTCTTATTTGACGAGGTCTAATTGTTCTTTCTGTCATTATTCTAAGAATTTTGGTTATGAAGATTAGCATCTGATCATATATTGTTAGCAATTGGGAAATAAATTTGGCAAAGCTTGAATCTTTTCACCTTCAACGGCGTGCCTATAAGGTGTTCGACAAAATGACTCAACGAGAGCCATTGCCACTGAAAAGAGTGCTGAAAGTTTTTGTTTGGTTGGTCAGGGTGAAGCAATGCTGGCGAAGACAGTTTTCCCTACAGGTCTCCTTGTTTTGAGGAGCTTCTCATCAGTTGCTTCAAAGACACTACTTAAAGTGGGAGATGTTTTAAGAGAAACAAGAGTGTTCTCAAGTGAAGATGTTAAGGCCTATGCTGAGGTGAGCCATGATTGGAACCCACTCCATTTCGATCCAGAATCTGCTCGTAAAGCCGGATTTGAGAATCGCCTTGTCCACGGCATGCTTGTTTCTTCCATGTTTCCTCGTATCATCTCTGCCCAATTCGTAAGTTTTCTACTTTTAGTTTGCATTCATTTTATCATCTACTTGTCTAAGTGCCTGATCATACAGATTAACATAAGCATATGATTAAATCTTTTTGGTCTTGTTGCAGCCTGGAGCAGTATATGTATCTCAAAGTCTGCATTTTCGGTCACCGGTTTACGTAGGTGATGAAATTCTCGGACTAGTTCAAGCAACAGCTTTAAGAGAAACCAAGAATAAGTACATGTAAGCTAATTTAAACCCATTTGAATCAAAAAAACATCTGAATTTATTTTCTCCATCATAACTCAATCCTCATTTCGTTTTGTTAGTGTCAAATTCTCAACTAAATGCTTCGAGAACCACAACGAACTTGTTGTTATTGATGGTGAAGCTACTGCAATTTTACCAAACCTTGAGATGTTGCACAACTTAAAATCGTAGGTTTATTTTATTTGTTTTCTCAATTTATAACTTAATATCCTTCTGATCGAGATGTTAGTGATTTTTTTCATTTCAAATGTTCAATGATATTTAATTTTAAACCCCAACGGAAATCCTAAAACAAATGATTTTTCAAAAAAATCTAAACTATCTACGGTAAATCCTCTAACAGCATTTCATAATCTTTTAACTTCAAAAGATTAAACTTTTTTTCTCAAATGAGAGAAGAAAGAAAACGAGAGAGCAAAAATGGAAAAGAGAGGTTTCACTTTTACATCAATTCTTGTTCACTCTCTCTGGATCACACTCACTGGAATCCTCTTGTTTACTCTCTCCACCACGAAAAACCACAACTTTGGTTACATCAAATTCTTTTCGATAACGGGAACATTACTCATAACCTTACCTTGGATAATCCAACTTCTGGTCACTTCTGTTGTAATATTATTGCATAAGACCAAAGGTTACAACCTCATGTGGATTGTTCAGTCACCAAAATCCAAAGAGAAAGAGAAAGAGAATCATCACACGAATGTCGCAACTACTACACCTACTACCACTACTTCTTGTTGTTCATCTCCTCTTTCGTCTCTCCAGGTTCTGAAGAAAGGTGATGTGGATGAGTACGAGATTAGGATTGTGATTGGTGCTGATGGTCCTAGAAGTCCAAAGGATGGATCTTCTGCAACGCCTTTGGGGATGCTCAAGGAGATTGAACAAGGAAGAAATAACACCAAACTTCTCACTAATGGATCACATGTTGCTGCTTAAACAATGACTCTGTTCTCTGTTCTGTTTTTTGTGTTTGTGTTTTTCATTTCTGCTGGTCTGAAACTTGTAGTGCTTACAAGTTTTTATGAGTTTTTTCTTTGTACGTTTCATTAGTTTAAACGAATTTGATTGCAATCACACATAACCTTCTATATTATTTCAATCACAGATTCACACTCATATCTTTTAAACAAATCAAGAACGTAACTAAACCAATAAACACAGACAATGTTATTGTCTGGTGATAACATTTACTTTGTCTTAAACCATAGTATATTGAAGAACTAATTAAGTTCTTAAATTGTCACCTACCATCTCTGTATGTGATTGTATGAGTAACAAATATGGAGTTACGGGAAGGAGGAGAGGTTGATGGTGCTAAAGTGCTCCTTGAAGTGAAGGCTGTTTACATCATAAACGGAGCAGAAACTCCAATTCCTGGAGACTCTGGTGAGAAATTAGGCAATGGAAGATTCCAGTATATGTACTGTACCACTTGTTCCATGGTGGGTCTAGATTCTGCAACCATGTTTGTGCAAAGCAATCCAAGTTTTAGAACAATTTCAGCTTCCTCTGCTGAGTATTTACCTCCCAATCTTCTATCTATAGCATCAACCAGAGAATCCCTTCTCCAGCAATCACAAACCCATTTGATCAAATGCCGTTTCTCAGCTGAAATCTTGGGATCTAACGGTCTCCGTCCACAACTTACTTCAAGCATGAAAGCACCAAATGCATAAACATCTGTTCTTGTACAAGTTTTCATTGTTGTTAGCTCAGGTGCCATGTAACCCATTGTTCCTACAGCTGCTGTTGCAGGTAAGCTATCTCCATAATCTTCAAATCTCGCCATTCCAAAATCTCCTAATCTTCCATTGAAATTAGAATCTAACATGACATTAGAAGCTTTTATATCTCGGTGTAATACAACTTGATTAGCTCCTGTATGCAGGTAACTGAGAGCAGAGGCTATATCTTTCAAAATGACTAGCCTTTGCGGCCATGAAAGAGCTGGATTTTTTCTGTGAAACAAGTATTGATCAAGACTGCCATTACACATATACTCGTAGACCAGAAGAAGTTCTCCTTTCCTCCTGCAGTACCCGAGAAGAGGAACCAAATTCCGGTGCTTTAAACTTCCCATAGTCACTACTTCAGCCACAAACTGTTTCATGCCTTGCTTTGCATCGTGGCACACTCTCTTTACCGCTATATCTCCAACGCGGGGTAGATTTCCTCTGTAGACTTCTCCAAAACCGCCTTTTCCTAAACGACCATCTTTGTCAAACCCTTTTGTTGCTTTGTATAGAGATTTATAAGAAAACCGATGCGGACCGTATTCTTTTTCCCATGCTTCTCTGACTTCTGCATACTTTTTTCTCCTGTATAAGTAAACTCCTCCAAGAACGGCCAACATTATGAGTGCTATTAACACGAGTAGAGCGATAAGCAGCGGAGATGTTTGCTTCTTTTTGGCTCTTGGATGAGGAATCTGAGGAAGTTTTGAGAAGTCAAGTCTCTGCAACAACATTCTGTTTCTGCTGAAACTCCATCCTAAGATATATTGGTAACTGACTAACGATCCTGTTGATGCAGAGAATCCGAAAAACAGTGTTCGATCCAGGAAGATTTCAGTGAGATTGATGGATCTTGACAGAAGAGGATGGTTTGGTTTCTGGATGCTTAGAGGAGCCACTGTGACATTTAGTAAAGTTCCTTCATAATCCACCCAGACTTGTAAAGGGTCTCCACTTAAGAGCTTTATGCTTTGATTCTTCCCTTTGGTGTCTGAAAAGTAAGAAGCTGAAGCAGACTCTACAGAATTCAGGCTGTTGATGTCTATACCGACATGATTCTTGTCGATATCATCAAACTCTGCGCTCTCAACAGTATCGAGCTCAATAGCTAGAAGCTGAGAAGAAGGAGATCCATTTGTTGAGATGTTGAAAACTCCCAAGTACTGAGTTGGATCTGCTTGTGTGAAATCTATGGAAGAAGATACAACAAAGGCGATTCCATGGCCACCATCTGCTCCAGGTTTAGGAACCAGTGCACACACAAAATGAGTCGAGAAAGAGAGTTTCCTATCGAATGAATCGAACTTGAATGGTTTCTTGAAGAAAGCATGACCCATTTGCTGCGACGAGGCGTTAGTTAGCTGCAACAATCCATCTGGGAAGAGAATTTTTGCAGCTCCATCTAGATGAAAATCAGTTTCAGCTTGGCCAAAGCCATTGTAGACGAAACCGGCTTCTTCTTGTTGACTTAACAAGGAAATCAGATGATTAAAGATGACCAATAAGATCAGATGCAATCTTTCAGAAGCCATTGCTAATGAAACAGAGAGATAAGTCTGGTTTTTGTTTCTGGAGTTTCAAAATGCAAATTCAGATCAAAACTTGTTCAAACACAAGTTTCAACATTCCAAGTTTAAATTGTCTTCAGGAAATGTATTTCTTAAAGGCATTGAATCTTACAAAATGAAATTGATTTTTATTGTGACCATGACAGACAGTAACCTTAAACCTTTTTATATTAAGTTGTTGTTGTTGTTGTTCATACAGTCTCTTGTCTGGTTCCTAACAATGTCTAACTCCAAGTCAATAATTGCAAAGCAAGAGAGAACTCTTAGAATGAAATTCGTTGACCAAGAAAAAAGAAAAGGAACTCATAATATTCAATTCTTCAAAAACTTTTAAATTCAAAATCGTAATCGTTAGAAAATTATTAAACACACCTTCAAAATCTTCAGCAAAACAAAGTATTTAAGGGGAGAACAAGAAGATACAGTTATGAATGGTTATAGTAACAGGAAGATGACTAAAAGTCTACAAGTTACTTTTCTGAGAAATCGGATAACTGTTAGTTTCTTTTATTATTGATTGGGACAATATAGCATTTCCAGAAAAAATTCAGTGATTGGGACCAAGTGAGACCGATAAAAATAATCGTGATCTGTATTAAGGTGAGTTATTGGCCGAGGAAACAGCTGACCAGCTCCTTGAAGCTACAAGGGAGGCTGCATCAATCAGAACCGAAGAATGATTGCTAATCCCCACTGTATATGGTGAGAAATCTGGCAAAGGTAGGTTCTTGTTTAAGTATAGGACAACTTGCTCCATTGTAGGTCTGGATTCTGGCACGGTATTTGAGCAGAGCAGACCGAGTTTCATGACCATCTCGACTTCCTTGGATAAGAATTTTCCACGTAATCGGGATCGGTAGCATCAAGCAAAGAACCCCTTTTCCAGCAATCACAAACCCATTCAATCAGAACTCGTTTCTCAAGTTGCAACTGTGGTTCCACAGGTCTCCTCCCACAGGCTACTTCAACCATGAAAACACCAAAGGCATACTCATCAGTTCTAGTGGATGCTCCCATATGAAGTATATCTGGCGCCATGTACCCGATAGTCCCCACGGCGCATGTTGAGTCTGAGATGCCTCCATGGTCGTGAAAGCTGGCCATGCCAAAATCCCCTAATCTTCCATTGAACTCGGCGTCCAACATAATGTTTGAAGCTTTGATATCTCGGTGCAGAACAACTTGGTCCGCACCTGTATGAAGGTAACAGAGTGCAGATATGCAATACCCTTAATAATCACAAGTCTTTGTCGCCAAGAAAGTACCGGTTTCTGGTCATCAAACAAATGCTCGTCAAGACTACCATTGGGCATGTACTCGGAGACAAGAAGCAACTCATGTTTTCTCCTGCAATACCCAAGAAGCGGAACAAGATTCCTGTGTTTCAGACATCTCATGCTCACGACTTCAGCCACAAATTGCTTCACACCTTGATCACCGTCATGTGACATTCTCTTCACAGCTATTTCTCTGTTTGAAAAGAGATTTCCTCTGTAGACTTCTCCAAAACCTCCTCTTCCAAGAAATCCATCCTTGTTAAACCCTTTTGTTGCTTTGTACAAGGATTTGTAAGAGAATCGATGTGCACCAAATTCCTTTTCCCATGCTTCGGTTACTTCTGCATACTTGCTCCTCCTAAAAAAGTACATTCCAGTAAGAGTACACAAGCCCATGATAGCCAGAAAACCAAGCAGGACAATAAACAGCGGAGATAGGTTCTTATGTTCAGCTCTAGGATGTGGAACTTCAGGTAGTCTTGAGATGTCAAGTCGCTGCAGTGATCCTCTGCTTGTGCTAAAACTCCACGAAAGAATATATTGATAACTGATAGCTGTCCCTGTTGCTGCAGAGAACCCAACAAAAAGTCTTCTGTTTGGGAAAATATCTGAAAGATTGATGGGTTGTGACAAAAGAGGCTGTGGAAGTCGAAACTAACACAATCAAGATTTGTCTAGGGTTGTATTTTAGGGATACGATAATCGTGAATTCTCAAAGAACAACAGAAACGATTGATACCAAAGATGGCGTTCTTGATATTATTAATGAAAGGACGATTTTGATCTTACAAGAGTTTGATCGTAAAAGAAAAAGTGTTTGTGCTGTGAGAGCTTTGCGTAGTGTAATTTCTAGAGCGATATTGCTTGCCCCCATCGTTCTAGCCTTGAATCTCTTTATATAGGGAAGACAAACCGCCTCTCCAGCGATATTCTCGGAAGATTTCCATTTACCTTGAAGTCGGCTAGAATATCGCGGATTAGGATAATTTCCTTATTCTTCGGAGTTTTCGGAAGATTTCCTGATTTGAGTTGATCCTTCGCGATTCTTCCTTATCATTTCCGAGATTATCGGAAATGATCCTTCTTTTTCGGAAATGACAATGTGCTTAGAAATGATACCTTTAAAGAAGAATATTTACTAAGTCTTTGCTTCGGGCGATGATGAAGACTTCGCCTCAGGGAACTTGTAAGACCGGCTCGGGTACACATGAAGGACTGGCTCGGGCATTCTAGGGTGGCTTCTTCGGGTGTCCCCGAGGCGATGGGCTCGGAAACTCCCGAGGCGACCAGGCTAGGGTACCCCCGATGCAATTGGGCTCGGGTGCTTCTGATGTCTGCTTCAGGATATCCCCGAGGCAATTGGGCTCGGGTACCCCCGAGGCAATTGGGCTCGGGTGCCCCCGAGGCGGTAGAGCTCGGGTGCCTTCGTAGTCTTGTTAATGTATCCCCGAGGCGATGGGCTCGGGTATACTAAATCGTTTAGACAGATATCCCGAGGTGAATGATGCGATGCCCCGAGATGATCTCTGAAAGACTCCCAAAGTGTTCTAAGTCTGGCTCGGCGCCAAAGGGTGAAACCGACCCCAACAGTTAGCCCCCCAGCTCGTTAGTTTGGAGAACCAAGCGTGATGAGCTTCATGACATTTAGGCCGAGCCGTTTACTTTGGACAGTTCGGTCCTTTTAAAGTTTTTGGCGATTCGGATTCCTCTGTCGTTTCATCTTCTCTTGGCGTGTGACGGTTGGGATTCCTTCTCGAGAAGTGGAAAGGTCCTTTTGCTGATTCCCGAGACTCGTGCGGATGCGAAGTATCTTACTTACTTCGTTTGTGCCCGACGCGCCTCAGACGCGGATTCGATGTGTTTTATTTGGCTCGTTCGTACCCGACGCGCTCCAAATCTCTATAAATGTCAAGCCTCCGATTCATTTCTTCATTTCGCAATTGCAAAGGAAAATTTTCAAGGTTCGTTTTCTTCTCTCTGATCTTGAGTTCTTGAATTTTCTACTTTTTCCGTTAATATTTCCGTCATAGCGCCACCGTCATTAGATCTAGGTTGATTTCCCCGATCTGTCAAACTTTGTTCCTCCGATCAACTTCTTCAATCTCCCGAGGCCAAAAAATGTCTCTATCTGATTCCAGCGATTCGTCCCGAGGCGACACTCTTCTCCCCGTCTACAAGAGAAAGATGGTCTGGAGTTCCTCGAGCGACCCCGAGGCGGACCATCAGATCGTGTTACACCGTGGGAGTGATGCAGAGTCGGCTTCACGGGAAGAAAACCCGAGCCGTTTCGTTGTTCGGGAAGACGCGGTTGCAAATGTGGCTCGGGATCAGGATTTGCCTGATGATCCCGAGGCGATTTTTAGTAGAAGGAGGGCCCATCCACCGGCAGTTGGTGAAGCTGGAGTATCGTGCTGGCGGAACGCCCCCGAGGCGCCTCTACTTCCTGTTAAGGCCGAGGAAGTCCACTACGATTCTGACGAGGCGGCTAGGTTGCTTCAAGCTAAAGTCCGAGCAGCCAAGGGTCAGCAGAAGAGAAAACGAGCCAAGAAGGCTAGGAAACCTGATCCCCCGGGTTCTACTTTATGCACGGAGGATTCCCTTCGGGATCTCAAGGCTCGATTTGGTTTCAGTGAGGGGGTTGAACTGAGACTTCCAACTCCAAATGAGCGAGCTGATGATCCACCCGAGGGGTTTTTTACCCTCTACGAGGGGTTCTTCTATCATTGCTTCCTTTGGCTTCCAATCCCGAGGCCGATTTTGGCGTTTCTGTGGTCGTACAAGATTGCTTTATCTCAGATAACGACCCGAGGCTTGCGGCATCTAGTGGGGATTTTAGTCCGAAGTATTGAGACGGTCAACCTGGTTGACCTAAGCCACTTAAGGAATCTCCTAGAGATCCGGCGAATACCGGGCCCTGTTGAGAGATTTTACATATCTCCGAGGCCAAATAGGAGGGTTATCGGCGGTTTCCCGAGCAAGGATGAAAATATACCGACCATTTCTTCTTTGTAGCCTTGAATGAGTATAGTGTCCACGAGGACTACTTAGGG